CAGCCTTTCTTTATAGGAGAGGTGTTCCATCCCCCTGATCATTTTCATGGCCCTCTTCTGGACCCGCTCCAACAGGTCCGTGTCTTATGCTGAGGGCTCCAGAGCTGGACACATTGACCAAAGAAAATAATGTGAGACTCCCTCCTGTATTTTTTCCTCTTACTAAACCATAGTTCAGCACTGTATTTTTTGACAGTATCCAAAAAAGGGAAGTAATTCTCTTACATTTCGATGGAACTGATCCAGGCTAGGAGAGAAGGCTGCTGAAACTGCCAAAAAAGGAAGTATTTGTTTTTATATTCTTATTGTGTGCTTTCTCTTCCTTAATTCCTGTATAAAATCCAAACAGGATTTATGAGGCAAAGATCACTGTAGCTGAAGCTTTAGCATCAATAGGTTATAAGTTTCCCATTTAACCTAATGTCTCTCTTAATAAGATTTTATTTTTATGTATGAGGAACCTGCGCACTGCACGGGGCAAAGGGCCTGCCAAACTGCCATGCTCCTCCTGACATCAGCTCAAACAACAGTACTGCACAGAGAAAAGTTGTGTCAGACATTGTGTGAGGGCACAAAAACTGGGTGGTACTAATTAGTCCCAACTCAATGGGACTTGTAGTTCCCAGGCTTCATCTGAGTTAGGTCTGTATCAAAATAGAAAGTAGACTTAAAGAGCTGACTCCGTTTGTCATGCTTTGCCAAATCAGCTGTGTCTCTACTAAAAAAGCTAATTATTTAGTAAATCCCATTCTTTTTCTCACTATGTGTTTTTAGGAAACATCCACTTCTTCCATTGTATCAAAAATTGGCAGAGTTTGCATGGGTGGCTAATCCGTACACTAGAAATGTAGGCCTGGTGATCACCTCTAAGCAAGCAGTAGCCTGGGTGGAGAAGGTTTCAGACATACTCCCTGCAAATATAAGGAGTTTCAATATATCACAGCTGGACTAGATGATCGTTGTAGGTCCCTTCCAACTGAACTAATTCTATTCTATTCTATTCTATTCTATTCTATCTAACTGTAGCAAGCCATCATCAGATATGGGGTGAGCAAGGGACTAGGACAGGACCAAATTGGTAGTGAAGATGGCCACAACTTCTTGGACAATGAATATGTAGAGGTCTCCATAGCAAGCAGAGAAGAAATCATACACAGTGTGAATATGTACTGTATAAATATGACATAGCTCTAGCACAGGGCTCGTGACTGAGCTGGAAAGACATTTTCTAGGGACTCTTGATGCTATGTACTTATCCTCTGCTTACTTAAAAACTGTAGCCAATATCTGAAATATCACAAGCAGGATCTTAAAAACTCTTTAGAATATTCCTCTTTTATTTTAAAATGAAACTAGAAAAATACCTTTTAATTATACTGCATTAATTTCAGTATATCACAAGCCTTAAGAAGTATGGCCCAAACTCATTGCTGGAGAGGCTCCTTTTGAGAATTTGTTCTCATAATTACTCCTGCCAGCATGCCATATGGTAGATGAATATCACTCTTACAGATCTGAGATTTTCCTAGAGAGGAAAACTAAGGCATAGAGAGTTTCTCCTTGGACCCTACAGAAAAATGAGGTTCAAAGGCAGAGCCAGAGTGCAAGAGTTTCCGGCTCCCCTCTGTGGCGTACGTCACAAGAAACTATGGTGGAAAGAAATCGGAACTTAAGAGCAAGAAACTGCTTTCCAAGAATAATTCTTTCCTTATGCTACATAAATAATGGTAGCAGCCCCCCCATTAGTTCATGTCACAGGACAGAAGAAAAAAAGCTTTGCTTGAGACTGCAGTTGAAATGAAGGCTTTGTTCTGTTAGAAGCCTCCTGTTAGAATTCATATCAGCTCCTAACAGCTTCAGGAGAGCTTTTGTGATTTATGTGTTCAAGAGGAATCATTCCAGAAAGCTCTCAAGGTTTACTATTTCTTTAAGCACTGAATTAGCCTCTACAATTGAGCCAAAGATTTAGTTCTACCTCTGAGCCAGAGCGTTATTTTCCCTTCCCAAGCATTCACAGCTGTTTAAGTGCCTGCTGATACAAGAATTTTCATCCTCCGCATTTTTTTAGGTTTAGAGTTTTCATCCTTTGCGTGATTCTCCTGTGCTGAATATCCACTTCTGTTGCTGATGTCTTATGGGGGAAAACAGAGGTGTCAGACAAGCCACAGAAATGCAGGCTGTGAGCCTGACTCTGACCCCAGTGGTTGCTGAGCTCAGAGACAGGCTCTGCAGGGGACGGGGACGCTCCCTTCCCAACCTTCAGCGATCACGCAGAGACACCTGAGCATCCATGCCACAGGCTCCAAAACTCAGTGGCTCCTTACAATGCCTTTCCTGCCTTAAAACTCTGGGTTCATGCAGGTTAGGGACAAACCTGCTATTTATGTGCTGAGTAGTGCAGTCATCTCACGTAACAGCGTTGAATCTGACCAGTAAAAGAGACTTTTTGATTATTTTCAAATTCTGTCCGTATTTTGTAAGTCTCCAGCCTCCTGGTCCAGAAGTACAGCTTTTGTTAATTCTAAGGCTTCATTCTTGACTCTCTCTCCAATTCTTAGATGCAGTCATGCCAAACTCCCAGTGACATATTGCAGCCGTTTACTGAATGCTTATAAACATTAACAGGAATACGCTATGCCCATACATACAAACACACAAACCCATGCAGAAACTATGCTTGAGAACAGCTGTGGAATCAGTGCTGCAAAAGAAAACTCACAATGTATTATTTTCTCACACGGAAGTTTTTGCAGAATAGTACATAAATGCTAGCTTTTTAGCATTTGATTTTTTATGGCTTCTTAAATCAAGAACAGAACTCCAGATCTATTCACTCTACAGGGCAATTTTTCTTACATCTACCAAGAAGATGTGGCAGCATATACTGTTTAAGGTTCTGACCTAGGAAGTTCAGGATTCACTGGCAGGGGTTGCTGGCTGTTAGATCTGGCTCTGCTTGACTCTGGGATGATGAACATCTCCTTTTTAATTATGTTTCTTAAAAATGCCTCGTTAATTTCCAGTTTAGTAGGAAGAGGGCAAAGCAGACCCTCCACATAAGCAAAGGATAGCTCTGCGCACAGCAAAGCTGGAGTCCAGTGGCTCGTGTGCTAACTCTCCTCCCTGTTTCGCTTGCACCACTTTCCCAAACACAGGGTGACTTCTACCTACAGCTCCCTGAATACTTTGCGGACGTTAATTAACTGATTTCGCTCCTGTGAAGGAGCTGCTAATTGCTGTTATACTCCCTTTACAGCTGAGTTCACTGAGGCCCTGGAGGGAAGCAATTTCCTTAGCCTTCCCAAGCAGAGTGGGAGTGCCAGGGATTGAGCCCACCCTGAGAGCTATTGCCCACCCTTAATCCCCACTGAAGCTATCAAGCACTGAAAACACTCAGCATCTTTCAGGATAGCCCTCAGCACTAGAAAGGATCAGGCCCAAGTGAGGCCAAGGAAAAGCAGCAGACCAAGCACAGCAGTCCAAGACCGTCCCAGCTGGGGTCAGATGCCTGCTCCAATCACCCTCAACTCCTGCTGCATGCAAAGCCGATAATGACATAACTAATAACTAATTACTAGGAGAGGAAGGGGAAAATGGTGCAGTGAACGCTAGCAGAATTCATAAAGTCAAATGCCAGCAAAATACAGTATGTGTACAAAATAATAGTTCAGTTCCTGGCTACCTGCTGTGTTCAAGCTAAACAAAAGACAAAGTAATATCTTCGGGATGTATTTGTGAAGACAACTGTTCCCTATTATAGGAAAAAATTGCAACAGTTTATTTTATTTAATTAGTATCTTATTTGTTCTAGTATGTTAAAAGGCAATATGCATATAAATTGATCTTGCACCTTTGGACAAATTGCACTATAAATATTATATTGTCAAAGAAGAAGGAAAGATGTGAGCGCTGGACTGTCTCCCATCAAACTGAATTGAATCTCACAGGACTACTCTGTAATTTGCCATACAGGCATGCTGGTAGGCAGGAGAGATGGTGACAAGTACAAGCAATTAGGGTTAAAAGTGTATATGGGCCAATTTGTAGTTGTGCTATCCCAGGAGAGACCCAAAGAAGGAGTGATGCTTCTGAGACACACTTTCTTCCCTCTGTACTGACCTACCTCCGGCTGAAAAAGGAGGTAGGTCATTCCCCTCATTCCCCATCCCTGGGCAGTGTGCCCATGCTGCTCCATCCGTTCCTCCCTCCCTGGCACCTGCTCTGGCTGCTGCCCGCAGGTTG